ACACTTGTTGATTAACCTTTGAGAGTACCTATTGCTCTTCAACATCTTTTCAAGGAACTCAAACTCCTCCTCTAGTTTCTCTATAGAGCATATTCTCCTCGCTCTATAGTACAGAGTGTTGACTAGACCACATTTAAGCTAGTTGGACAAAAGCTATTAAAAGCCTCCTACCTACTCAGACTATTCAACAACGCACATACAAATATTGTATTTACTATGGAACATGAAAATGATGGACAGTTCCATTTCCTTGACGTCGCCATAAAACGCCTAGAAGATGGTAGCCTCCAGAGGTCAATCTACCGAAAGCCCACATGGAATGGACAATACTTACATTTTAATAGTTTTTGTCCAAATAGCTATAAACGAGCACTAGTCAAGACTCTGTACTATAGAGCGAGGAGAATATGCTCTGCAGAGAAACTAGAGGAAGAATTCACGAATCTCGAAAAGGTGCTGAAAAACAACGGCTATACTCAAAAATTCATTAACAAATATGGAAGATGTGAAGGCCCAAATACCAAACAAATCACAGTCGAAAAAAAGCCTGTCTTCATTCAACTAGACTTTAAAGGTGAAGACATTGCAGAAATGGTCAACAGAAGACTGAGGACGTCACTAGCCAGAGCCTATCCTGCAGCTAAGTTGGTTCCCGTCCACCGAACAACATGCTCTTTGGTGCAGTCAAAAGTCGATAGATACCCTTCTCATGTTAACTCCAACTGTGTATACAAATTTACGTGTATCTGCGGGAGCAGTTACATTGGGAGAACAGAAAGAAGGGCACACCTCCGATTTTCTGAACATGTGCCGAAAAGCCTACGTCTCAAGGGAACAAATTCTTATAGCAGCGCTATTACCAGACATCTCCTCGACACGGGTCATGAGGTGGAAATCGAGAAATCCTTCAAAATTATCAATAGACAAAGGAGCTCCATTCTCCTCAAGTTTGCCGAAGCAATTTCTATAAAACGCTTGAAACCAGATCTATGTGTTCAGAAAGAATCAGTTGTTAGTCTCTCCTTGCCTTGGTAACTGGATGTCTTTTTTCTCCCATCTGATTGCGTAATCTTTGTCTTTATTTAACCTCACCCTCCTTTATAATTTTGCTTGTCTCTTGTTTCTATGATTTGAGTTCAACTCAGTACATTGTTACCTAACTTATTAGTCACTTTGCATCTCTCATCTGATTGTGTAATTTTGTCTTTAACCTCACCCTCCTTTTATAATCTGTAATTTTGTTTGTCTCTTGTTTCTATGATTTGAGTTCAACTCAGTACATTGTTACCTAACTTATTAGTCACTATGCATCCAACGCACATCCCTTACCATTATATACATACATTTATTTATTATTTTTTAACTTGAACTGCCTGTGTAAAAACTATATAAGCGCAATTTTCTGAGCACTGTTTACTAGTTGTGAAACTTTCTGTCAACATGTAGAATTTGCAAGTACGTTAAAACGTTTCTGTACTTAAACCTGAAAATTTATTTAGGCTGTAAGCAGCTGACGAGAAGCCAACGAAATAAATGATGGTACCACGTTATTCTGCACAAATGAATGTTGTTCTCGCTTTATTCAAATTTATCAAGGGGAATAAATGCATAAAATGCAAGTATTGTGCTTTCCATGTGGGCTTTCAGTAAATTGACTTTTAAAGACTACCACCTTCTAGGCGTTCCATGGCAATGTCGAGGAAGTGAAACTTTCCGTCACTTTCATGTTCCATAGTGAATTCAATATTGGTGTGTGCACCACTGTAGATATATTTAATAATGTCTTTTCCTTGTAAGCAGCTGACGAGAAGGCAACGAAGTAAAAGGTGGTACCATTTTATTCTGCAGAAAATGTAGTTCTTGTTTTGTACAGTAAATTTTGTTCGAAACTTTGTCATCCAGTAAATAATATCGTTTCATTGACTGTGTGATACATCTAATAAACAAACTAATATGGAATTACTAGCACAGTGCCGAAGTTTCACACATACATTAATTCTGATATAGTAATAAACGAGTTAGCACAGTAAGAAATAATGAATGTTTATGTCCATGAGTGATTACAACAGTCACTATTTTGACTCAGGTGGATATTTAGACAAATTAGTGAGAAGACGTAATTTGTCTGAATCATGCACTGTTGTATTCGCGCAACATATTTTGGACAGTCTGATCACCCACGGACTTGTCATAGGAATATTAAATTAATAAAGGGTTAATACGAGAGAAAATAAATTTAGGTGGAATTAAAAGCACATATTGAAGGTAAAAATAAAAATGAAGATCACTAGACCAAATGATAGAGGTGTTAGTACAACTACCCTGGCTGGTATCAAAACTAAGTCCACCAAAGGAAGTTCAGTGTGATGGCGAAATGCTTTTGAATGCTAGAAAATGGTGGTTTAGACTTGCTTATTGCTAGGGCCTCCACAAACACCTTTTATGGATAGGTTTAGGAAATGTGAAGACGTCAGTTTTATGTTTTGTCTCTATAATATGTTCCGCAGTAGGGGATGTGGGTCTCTTATTCTCACCACTAAGGGCTCCTAAAGATTCTATTTGCTTCTGGAGGCATATAGGAATATGATCAGAAGCCCTGAGTTGCAGACATCGGTGAGTCCTCCCTAAGTGGATACAGCAACCGCTTCTAAACATTACGTCTATAGCTTTATTAGATGTCGGACACTACTTCTACAAGATTCTAAAATGATTCCGCGAGTTAACTTTGAACAGACGCAAACAATACTGCGTCAGGACAAAATGCGAAATTAAATGAAACCAAACACAATAATAAGACAAAAAACGTACACCTCAGATGCCCTTAGGTACCTGATCACGAGGATGGTATCCAGATCCCCCAAAGTAATAGAATGTTGTTGTGTGCATTTCACTCAGTTGAAAAATTTTGGCAGAAAACAGTGAATGTTGTGGGTGACCGTAAAACATATTGCAGATTCTGCCCAGTTGTGAACACTAATCTTCACTTGCATCTATGCATTCGACTGACTTTTAGCGATCAGAACGCCGCACCAAAGTGCCGAAGCATGCTAGAATTCGATATCAACCAAATTCTTCGGCTCCTGCAACAGAAAAAGGTACTGCTCAAGTGCTGATAGGTAAATTTACGATCGAGTGCAGGTTGCCGCGAAGCTACAAACAGATTTATCGAAAGACAGACACGAGGCTTACTCAGTTTGCCAAATAATCATTGCACGAACCATATATTTAAGCGTTCTGCCACACAAGCAATACGTAAATGCTCAAGAACAATATCGAACAACAATTCTCACACAAATTCATTCAACAGGTGGAAAATAAGCACCAAATCACGTCAACTGCGTTTGTCTGGACAACTAGCGCTCACTCGAATCAACTTAACCGCGCAAATGCTATCAATGCTAAGCTGGAGGAGCCACTTCAAAAAGGGGATATGCCATATAATCACCCGGCAGATTCTCTTCCACTAGTCTTTTTCAGAAACGTTTTAATTCTAAAAATGGGTATACAGGCGAGCCCTGTGGTTGAGGCATATGAATCTGCACTGGTTTTACCTGGCAACATCATTTCTTTAGAAGTCAATGAACCAAGATTTCCTGATTTTCAGGGTTATGCTCAGAATCTGCCTCGTTTCATGCGTCAACTCCAGCGGACCCATCACATATACAAAACAGGAAAGCGCAGCTAGACCCCTGAATTCAAAACAGCACACACGTTTCTAATCCTTTCGACTGGCTCCAGAATTCCTTACAAGCTCCCTACGAGAGCCCTTTCAAGTCATCTGTAGGAAAGAAAAGTGTTTCGTCACTGACAGAGCAGGACGACAGGATGATGTCAGACAGACTATTCTAGGTTAAAGTGGTGCTTAATTTACAGAGAAGTGTATCTTCGATATATGTGTAATAAAAATGACTCATATAAAGTATATGTATCTCTCATATGCTGTAAAAACTGGACCTAGTATCTCATAGAACTGGTTAGCGACATATCAGTGCGTTCAGTGAAGCTTCATCTCCCGAGAGTACAGATGTATTGTATACAGCTGAACATCTAACAAAGTTGCGGAAAGCATAATGCAACCAATCAGACATTATAAAATCCATATAAAAACAAGATACTTGACATTGGAAATAGGATATTACTACAGACACATTTAACCTGGACCGGTACTTCAAGGTCGTTCTCTTAAACATCAAATGGTAGGACGAAATCAGCCTTAAATGCACTATTTGTGGATCCTATTAGTACTTGTGATATTGATAAAAACCATCAAATTAAAACCTGTGGTTAATTCACATGACAGAAACCCTTACATTTAAAAATGACTGTGACAACGTACTTGTTTACTTATGCAAATAAGTTTAAGAGATGATATCCTTTTGGGAATTTCGCAAATTAAATGCAACTTCTCTCATTTATGTTTCAATTTTTAAGCATACTTTACAAAAAGAATAGTGTAGTGGCAACTACTGCATATCCAATGTCGCATTACCCATAAAGGAACCCAAGCTTACGAAAATTCTAAACTTATTCTAACCTATGCATTGATAATGCCTTTTTTGTAAATGAATATTTTATCTACCCAATATGTTCTGAAATAAGGCTGGTCGTGCCTAAAAAGCGAGCTGGGTGCTTAATTAATGTGACAAATTCTTAAAAATAAGATCAGCATCTAAATAATGTCTTAAGTGCTAAAAATAAGCACTTCATGCCTAACTGCTGCGGTTAATACTGAAAAATAGCACCCTCTCTCTCTCGACATCGTTTATTGAAACCAACCAACCAATCAGCAAACAATCAATTTAAATTGATCGTATTTCGTTAAAAACTCAATTTCAGGAAAAAAAGCAGTCACTTCTTTTGTGAGATTTATCTTAGTGCTTTACTCACTTCTAGTAAAATTAAATTTTTTGTTATGTACAAATGTAATTTCATTAGAAGTGAGTAAAGCACTAAGATAAATCTCACAAAAGAAGTGACTGCTTTTTCCCTGAAATTGAGTTCTTAACGAAATACAGTCAATTTCCTATATGGGTATTCTTAGCAGATATGATCAATACAGCACCACTAGTACACACAAAACAGCGCAGATTAACTTTTAATTACATACCAAATCATTTGACTTGTTTGATTTGTAAGGGTCTACAGCATCAGGCCGTCAAAGTAGGCGAGTTGGAATTGTGTTTAAAACTCCGCTGATGACCACAGAAATCAGTTAACTCCAGACGTCCACATTTAGCTGCGTGGAAACTGTTGAGTGAGTTTTGCATGTGCTTTAAAAATATAAGTAAGCTATTGTCAATACCGAATCAATAATAGCCGTGTTACTGATATCTTTAAATTAATTCATATGACTCATATGGATGAGAAGGATGAACAAATTAACGACGTGGGTGGAATTAATATTCCATTATTAATTTGAGAGATGATGCAAACAATAAGATATCGCTATTTAGTAGTCATCGTTTACAGCTGATATGCATTCTGTCTGTCTGTCTGTTTTCGACATAGAACTTTGCACATATGTGCGGAAGTTCAAGTCGCCACACTCCGTGTAGCACGCGAAGCAAGAGAAGAAAGTACAAGAAAAGCATAATAGAGACAGTGAGCAGAGGTGTGAGACAAAGGAGTAATAACGAAAACAAAACAGTTTCATTGGAAATCGTAAGTCACAGGAGTGGATGCACCTGCGCCACTGAGAACGATTTTGAGCCATGTCACCAATTGTTTCCAACCATAGATTGTTACCGTCCCGAGGACCCTAGGTCTGGAAGTCTACACCTTCCTACGTGTGGCTTAGACCAACTGTTGTGGATTTCATTGACTGGTGAAGCCATGTTTAGGTTTGACCGCCGCTAGCTTTTTTCCAGCCTGACCCTATATCCGCTAACATTGCTCGTCGAGGGAGGCGATGGCTTGGCATACGTAACACATGTCAGTCAGGCTAGTGTGGGGGCCGACATATATATATATATATATATATATATATATATATAGACGTCTTGTTTTGATGCTGCTACAGGAATGGACTACGTCAACTCCTGGCTTAGTGATAGGCAGTGAAGTGATAGAATATGTTGACCACTTCACCTATTTGGGAAGTTGTATCAGCACCAATGCACTGATTGGCGACGAAATCTCAGCACGGATCCAAAAAGCTCGAGCTGCTTTCGCTGACTTACACCATCTCTGGCGTAGGCGTGACATCCGGCTGTCAACAACCAAGGGACGTGTGTACTGCTCAGCAGTTCGCTCCGTCCTTCTCTATGGCTCTCTGAAACATGGCCAATACGAGTTGAAGACATGAAAAGGTTGAATTTTTTTGATCATAGGTGTCTGCGATCTTTTTCTCACGTTAGGTGGTTTAGTAAGGTAAGTAATCTTGACGTTAGGCGTAGTGTTGGACAAAGAGGGAAAATTAATCGACGAGGCTATAAAGTTACATAGGTTGAGATGGCTAGGTCACGTGCTGCGCATGCCTAACCATCGCCTCCCCCGACGGGCATTACTAGCTGATATAGGTGCAGGTTGGAAAAGAGTAAATGTTGGCTAAACAAAAACATGGCCTCATCAATCCATGAAATCCTTGACAGTTAAACTGAGTCAGGTAGGGAAATGCAGACTCCCGGGTTGGGGCCCTCGGGACTCTAGGAATCAATGGCTGGAGACAATAGGTGGCTCAAAATCGTTGTCAATGGCCAGCGCAGATGTATTCAATCTCTGTAATCTTTCATATTCCTTTCTACCACTATCCATTCTGTTTCGCTCTTATACTTGTCAAACTCTATTGATTCTCTTCGCTCATCTTCATCTTCTTGTCTACCTTTGGAACGTGGCAACTGGAACTGGTGCACTTCAGTGCCAAGTTCTATGTTGAATCCAGACAGACAGATATTGAATGTATGGTTGTACAAGCTGATTGAATACACTTATGAGTACAGTGGTAAGTAAGTGCATCAACTCAGAACAACAGCAAACCAAAAAAAATAATATATAGACAAATATGCAGGTAAATCATGTAACGTGTAATTTCAAAGCATAATTGACTATCATACACAAGGCGTCTAATGGCTAATAAATTATCTGTCTCAGTGACTACTGGCAAGATATCGAAGACTATAACCAATTTATTCCAATCAAATTTAACGGTAGATGAACTATTTGAGTTTAGTACAAGCTAAGCATACTTTGTGTCACTAACACAGTATGATTATAAGAATTTCATACTGTAATGTCTTATGTGGTATGCTTTCCACGAAGGGATCTGTTATCTATTAAGTAGTCGACATTCTCCAGTAGATGAGTATAACCTTATGCACGTAAATGAGCCTGAATCGCATTTCGTTTTTAAAATGAGAACCTCAATTATCGTAGTTTGAGTGGTGACAATGTGTAACGAAACTGTATGACTGACATATGCAAACTAGAGTAGATTATATTGATGCCAAATAAGTTTAAATACCGATTTCTTTACTAGGTAAACATTTTAGCTCTCCTCTTCAGACAACGAGAATGACCTAAAATTACCTACTTTTGGCTGCTTGTTATTAATCTCTTACTCATACAGCCATGTGACGGCTTACGGCGAGCTGTCATCTGAACTGGTGACGACTAGTGGTGTCCGCCAAGGACGCTCATTATCCCCATTTCTATTCAACTTCATCATAGATGTACTAATGGACTTAACCCTAACTCACTTCAGCGACTCAGGGATTGATTTGCTACCAGGAAGGGAATAATCTCGTTGACTTAGAGTATGCAGACGATATAGTCCTTCTAGGCGAGGATGCTGACAAAATGCAGAGTCTTCTAAACACCTTGGGCTGCAATCTACGAATGTTTGGCATGCGATTCGCTCCCGCCAAATGCAAGTTGATGTTACAGGACTGGACTACACTGACTCCTAGATTAGAAATAGGGAGTGAAGTGGTAGAGCACGTTGTCCGCTTCACTTATTTGGGAAGTACCATCAGCCAACGCCAACGGGTTGATCTCTGACGAAATCTCAGAACGCATACAGAGGGTTAGTTTCGCACATGCCAGTTTACGCTGTCTCTGGCGTAGACGCGATATCCGACTGGCTATCGACCAAAGGGCGGGTGTACTGCTCATCAGTCCGCTCCGTCCTCCTTTATGGTTGTAAGACCTGGCCACTGAGAGTGGAAGACATGACAAGATTAGCTATCTTTGCTCATAGGTGCCTGCGCTCTATTTCCCGTGTAAAGTGGCATAATAAGGTGAGCAATATTGAGGTTAGGCGTCGGTCGAGTGCTAGGTAAGGAGGGGAAATCGATCGACGAGGCTGTGAAGTTACATAGACTGAGATGGTTAGGACATGTGTTACGTATTCCTAGTCATCGCCTTCCTCGATCGACGTGCAATGTTAACTGATATAGGGTCAGGCTGCAAAAAAGTTAGGGGAGGTCAAACTAAAACATGGCACCAGTCAATGAAATCCACAACAGTTAGTCTAAGCCATGTAGGAAGGTGTAGACTTCCTGACCAGTTAGGGTCCTCGGGACGGTAAAAATCTATGGTTGGAAACAATTGGTGACATGGCTCAAAATCGTTCTCAGTGGCGCAGATGCATGCACTCCTTGTGACTTATGATTTCCAATGAAACTGTTTTGTTCTTCGTTATTACTCCTCCTTTGTCTCACACCTCTGCTTATTGTCTCTATTATGCATTTCTTCTCTTGCTTTGTGTGCTACAAGGAAGGAGTGTGGCGACTTGAACTTCCGCACATATGTGCAAAGTTCTGTCGAAAACAGACAGACTGCTTGTTATTAATAAAACACTGTTGTGTTTTTTGAGGATTGCAAAAATCCCCTATGTTCTACAAGAGCAGTGAAAAATTCTTACTAAGTTGAACTCGAAGGACATTAAAAATGCTTTTGTCAATAGCATTTACCTAAGAATATTGACAAGCTGTAATCATTTCAGGTGTGTATGAATGTTGTTAACCAACTTCTACTTATTTCTTGGAACTGAACTTTTTCTCTCTGTGATAGAAATTATAAAGCAGATTTTCCTTCTATCTTTTTGTTTTTTTAGATGATAACAACTAGGCGTTTACTGAAGTATATCCACTTGAAGAAATTGTGTTCAAGAGGTATTCAATGTTATTCTGGAGAAGCTGGTTCTTGTTCATCAACAGGTGCTTTTCATCCTAGACCAATAATGACACCACTTGGTTTAATTAAAGTTGTTGGTGCTGTATTACCTTCAATTTATCTTGGTTCATTTATAAGTAGAAGTGGAGCAGAATTTCTAGAAGAGAATGATATTTTCGTTCCAGAAGATGATTAGAAGAAGAATTAGACAAAACTTACTGCCATATTATTTCTTTTCTTCATTAATTATTTTTTTGTTTGTTTGTTTGTTCACACAATTAGTTTTGTTAAGAGTTAGTTATTTTATTGTGAAAATTTTTTTTTCAAAGAATGTTTTCACTGACTGATGAGAGAAGCTTATGTTGTTTTAACTTCTACAAAACTCTTGTATGACTCAAATGCTTTTACTAATAATATGTGGTACAAGTTAATGCATAGCATGATCTTTAACTTTTATAATTATGTGATAATATTCGTGTATTAGAAAGAGATACCAAATAAAACATAATATATATATATATATATATATATGATATCAGTTGAGTATATCCAACTTCTCTGTTTTTCTTCTTATCAAGTACGCATCTGTGCCTCATTTTTTAGTTAACTGTCTTCTATTAAAACCTTCCATTTCAGCTAGCCAACTTAAAACATAATTTGACTTGTTGTTAATCACTTTAGCCTGAGGTATAGATATGATAGAGAAGATTTGTAGCTCAGATGGATGATTTTGATGTGGTTGTGTTCTCTGAGCAAGCTGGATAGTTAATTTGTGAAGCTTTCATCACCCTACTAGATGACATCTTCAGCGCATACACTACAATTTAATGAAGTGAACTTTTAGATTTCTCCACGAGTTTATTAATCATCCCTCCTGGTGACCATCTTGGACCTCATGATTGGTTGTTTTTGTGTGTTTTCACATCCTTTAGACTGCTACTTGTATTGGAACTGATAGTTTCTTTGACTTAAACTTTGACTCTTTGTGTGTGTAAGAGGTTTCTTTCTTATCGGTTGATAAATTTTGTCTATCTCGATTTGTCTATTGATTGATGATTCACTGGAATGCCAAGCTTCTAAAAATTCTTTGGTTAGCATTTTTGTTGTTTCCTCTGTTTAATATTTGAATGTTGGTTGTCCCAGTCGAATTGATGTCTGTGATTGTCTGTATGCAGCGAGTGATATGAAGGAGTGGATATCATGTCTTTTGACGGCTAGCTTATGTTCGTAGATACGAAGACGAAGCGAACGTCCACTTTGGCCAATGTAGTGTTTTTCGCAGTTGTTACAATTTATTTTGTAGATGATGTTGGTTTTATCTTCTTTCGCTGTTCAGTCTTTTGGTTGACATAGAATTGAGTGAAGTGACTTTGTTGGTTTGTGTACGACGTCAATTCCTAGAGGTTTGAAGAGTCTAGTACAAAATAAAGGTGGTCACCAGGAGAAATGATTAATAAACTCGTGGAGAAATCTAAAAGCTCACTTCAATTCGAATTGAAGTATGCGCTGAAGATGTCACCTAGTAAGGTGATGAAAACTTCGCAAATCAACTATCCAGCTCAGAGAACACAACCACATCAAAATAGCTTGAGGTATACACATTAACAATTCTAAGGTGAATATGTTTAAGTAGCCAAGAAAACAGTGTAAAAGCTGCTGTAAGCATACCTCAGACCAAGTTTCTCTCTCGGATTCCAAATGAAACATGGGATCTTAACAGCACATTTTCATTTCATCCTATTCTCTCGGTGTAGCCCCTTTAGCTGGCTCTACAATTGCCTACAAGCTTTCATTTCCTACTCACGTCAGCGTAGGAGCTACTCCAAACTTGTCGAGTTGCAGTACCACAGCCTCGGAGTTGATGTCATTCAACAGCCTACTAAGAGTGTATTCGATCTATTTCCTTTTGCATATTCGTTGAGAAGAATGTTGACCGCATATTAATTTAGTTGTTAGAAATATCACACAATGAAAGAGTATTATATGCTTGATGATGTTTTGGACACAATTTATTGTTCATAATTATGCCAGTTATAACAACACAACTTCGAAACTTTCATTCAACAACTGGGACCAGATCCAATGACTCGTGAATCCCAACTTCTGCCAATTTTTAAACCCCTTTTGGTGGGTAGTGCTGAAGAGCCCAAAATCAGGAGGAAACGGCTGTCCACTAATCCTAGCTTTTCCAATGATTCTCTGACTGAAGTCAACTTGTAAAATCAGTATTTATCTCTCTCTTGTACAGTTACAACTTGTTACAACATCTCCGAGTGTGTAATCCCAACTAATCATATAATGGTCGTATGACTTTTGTGGCGGGGCAAACAGAAAATGTCGGTGATAATCACCGTGGCCAAACGACTTTGTTTGATATATAAGGATGTATAAAACAAGGTATGAAAAATAAGGTATTGAGAGAAATACTCAAGTCATGTTATGATTTAATAAGGCCACTCCTTCATCAGATGAAAGCAAACAATGATATGCCGTGAACTTTCATCAAAACCTTACTCTTCACACTGTTCATATCACAATGTTGTTTAGCTTCCAGACAGAATATTGATTTTGTTTGACATGACCTTTGTCTATTTCTAAAACTTCAGCTATTTCTTATCTAAATCTGTCTGTGATTACATCATTTCCACTGTTCTGACCACAACTAGTATGTTTAGCAGTCACAATAATTGTATACTTCACTGTCAAAGGCATTGGTGAAGATTTGGATATTTATCACAAGTTGACAAAGTTGAAATTCACGGGTCATTGAATTCCAGTCCAAGTGGCTGCTGAATGGTCAACAAGTCTGCTGTCGTAACCTGAAAAGGTCCAGGGTTCAATCCCGATTAGATCGTGGGGGTACACTGGTGAAGACTCCCAAACTAGAAGGAAACAGTTGTCCAGTGCTCTCTGGTTCTCAGTGACCCCTCTAACAACTGGTGTTGGCTCGTGACAACTAAATCGAACAACTGAAATTATGCGTATACATTCCAGACAATAAGTGAAGGACAACAAATTAGACTTTGACTAAACATTTTTTGACCTTCCAAATGATGTTTCTAACCTCTTTTGTTTGTCTTATACAGATATTTTCAAGAGTTAGTTTGTGCGTAGGGACTTGGCTTTTTGTTTCAAGCTTGACCATGGGTGGATTTCAGCTACAGACCAAGTGATTACTGGTTTTGTTATACTTTGGGGCTCTTCAGTATTATACACTCAAGATTCCGACTGGCGATTGGACTCAGGACCTTATAAGTAACTGGTTGTACTTAAGGTAGACTTTAATTTAACGCACTTAATAAGGACTTCTCCTCTTAATACCCTAATCACAGTACTCTACCTAACGTGTGTAATTACCGATTAACGAACTCGAAGTGAAAAAGGCTTGTAACTTGGTAGTGTGCCCTAATAAGAATTATATTTTTTACCATAAATGAAATGTCAAATTTATTAAATAAGAATATTGTACAACTTATATGAAGTGATGCGGAATGGCACACTCGAAGAGGAATTGTGCAAACGTAATGGAGTCCAGAAAAAAAAGTATGGCATAGCGTCCACATATTACAAGTACACAATCAAACAAAAACTGAGGACATTGAAGGTGCAGTACAACCTCTGGGTCACTAGACCAAACTTGTTAACCATTTGGTCATTTGGATTGGGATTCGCCGGTCCATAATTTCTAATTATATGGATTCGTGACTTTAGCGGGATCGCGAGTTAATGTTATAGGCGTGTATTTGTCCCTGCATCCGACCTGATGGACCTTAGTGGTCACAAGTCCTCACCAGGACAACATATTTATACCTAAGATCCGAATTTTCAACTCCAATGTGAAGTCAGTGCTACTCACTGTACGGATCAGAGACTTGCACTGCGCGTCATAAAGAGCATCTCAAACAAACTACAGACCTTCGTTAACAGCTGTCTCCGCTCAATACTACTCAAGATTAGATGGCCGGCCAGAAAAGATCAGCAACAGGGATCTCTGGGAATGAGCGAACCAACCAGGAACCGACTGTGAAACAAATAGGCAGGAAGAAATGGAGGTGGATTGGTGGCCATACTCTGAGGAAACCATCAAGTGACATCACTAGACAACCCATTGCTCGAGTGGAACTCGATGAAAGGGAAGCGGCGAGTTGGTCGTCAATGCGAGGGTGACTTGGAGGAGGTGATGCGAAGAGGAGATGAAATCATGTGGGCAGACTTGGAGCGGGGTGAAAAAGTTGGCCGAAAAACCGAAGGCAGTGGAGACGCACAGCTGAAGCCCTATGTTCCTCTAGGAATTAAAGGATATAATAATAATTACAGAATATGTGAAGCTCATTTTCCAGTTGAATATAAGTACTATCGATCACTGATTAAAACTACTCCCACTGCTTCAGTGAAAAGGTGGTAGTTATGTCTATAAATATTTCGTAGCATAGAGTTGATCAGAGGGATTGAATACAAGGTATGAGATTTTAAGTACACTGGACTGGTGAGAGGATAGTTGAAATATATTCTCTTCTGTGTTAATAATAATGAGACAAGATATTTACAATTATCGCTATTACTGGTTGCAATAAGAAAAGTGGAAATGATGCAATGACAAACAATTTTAGGAACAAAGTAGTAGTACTGGATAGGTGTTCCGCCCCTTAGTTCTGGACTCTTCATCAGCACGCACACATCAGGGTTCAAACCCAGGACATGGACTAACAAGACTTCCCAAAATTGTCTTTGTCTGTCTGGTCTGTCTGGATTCAACATAGAACTTGGCACCGAAGTGCACCAGTTCCAGTTGCCACGTTCCAAATAGCACACAGAGGTAGACAAGAAGATGAGTGAAGAGAATCAATAGAGTTTGACAAGTATAAGAGTGAAACAGAATGGGTAATGGTAGAAAGGAATATGAAAGATTACAGAGATTGAATACATCTGCGCCATTGACAACGATTTTGAGCCATGTCACCTATTGTCTCCAGCCATTGATTCCTAGAGTCCCGAGGGCCCCAACCCGGGAGTCTGCATCTCCCTACCTGACTCAGTTTAACTGTCAAGGATTTCATGGATTGATGCCATGTTTTTGTTTGGCCACCACTGGCTCTTTTCCAACCTGAACCTATATCAGCTAGCAATGCCCGTCGGGGGAGGCGGTGGTTAGGCATGCGCAGCACGTGACCTAGCCATCTTAGTCTATGTAACTTTATAGCCTCGTCGATTGATTTTCCCTCTTTGCCCAACACTCTACGCCTAACGTCAACATTACTTACCTTGTGAAACCACCTAACGTGAGACAGAGATCGCAGACATCTATGATCGAAAGCAGTCAACCTTTTCATGTCTTCAACGCGTATTGGCCATGTTTCAGAGCCATAGAGAAGGACGGAGCGAACTGATGAGCAGTACACACGTCCCTTGGTTGATAACCGGATGTCACGCCTACGCCAGAGATGGTGTAAGTCAGCGAAAGCAGCTCGAGCTTTTCGGATCCGTGCTGAGATTTCATCGCCAATCAGTCCGTTGGTGCTAATACAACTTCC